AAATCTCATTTTTTCCACCTAGATTTCAAAGCTCATGATTTTTCTTCAAACTGTTAAAACATCTTCTCTTCCTTCTGAAATTCTTTTCTAAATGTTTATTTTCCTATCCGCTCCCAATTTATTCTACTAAGATCTTGCTTGCTAAAACATCTCTCTCTGCTCCAAATGCTTTCTGAAAGTGTATCTTGTCCTCTAAACAGAGTGGCCATGACTCCTCTATTTATTTGTAACTTCAGTCTGTAAACTCTGTTAGGTAAAATTTGCTTTCTATGCTATATATTTTAGTTACAAAATACTGTTTGCTCTTCTTTTTCTCATCTCCCCAGTCCTGCTTTTCATTTGTTTACTGCTTACCTAGTGTTTTTTTTTTTCTGTTGTACTAGTTTTCTTCCTTGTTTGTATTACACTGCAGGTCTCCTTTTACTATTTTTGCCATCTTGCTGTCCTTTAAAAATAAGTTAATATTTTATTTCACACAATTCACTATATTCTTCTACCTTGTGGGGGTAGTTATGTGTCATCCTGTGCTTTTCTCACTATCTTAACTACCTGAATATCCTCTCCAGCTTGTGGACATGATAGAAGTCATGCAATTGTTAACTCTGTCTTGCCTAGATATTTCTGGAAAGAATTCATTCTTATAGTCTGTGATGCTGATACTTGCTTTGTTATTTACTACTCAGAGAGAATCCAGAGTGTACTGATTCAACTCTGAGGATCAGTGATACCTTAGCGTGGTGCACACCAGAGCCATATCTCTGGATTTTAAGTTACAGACAGTGAGAGGCGCCACAGTAATGGAAATGGCAGGCTAGAGCAGCAGGAAGTAATTTCTCAGCAAAGCTGAGGAAAGGACAGATGCAGAGTGAAGATCACAAAGAAAGGAAGGAATAGATGATTGAATGATGCTATATGTGACTGGAAGTGGCCTTCCATGTCGTCAAGTCCTGCAATCCCAGGAAAGTACATCGTGGTATCTACCCTTTTAATACATTTCTCGGGCTCTGTCTAAAGGCATTTGGGATTCCTGCCCTAACTACTTTCATTGGAAGACTGTTTCAGGATGTCGCTATTCTGATTGAAAGTAACCTTTAAATGTATTATGGCCATTGTATACTCGTTTGCTCTTTTACTGATATTGTCCTGTAGCTTAATTAGGTCATATTCCCCTCTGTACGTTTCTGATGCCTTCTCACCCAGACATACATATCCGAGGATTGTGTCAGCATAAGCATATTCTAGTTATCCATTCTAATTTCAACACCGTATTCAGACCTTCCAAAAACACCTCTCCACTACTTTAGAGCTTCTGTGAATACTGAACGGAAGGGGGCTTGTGACAAGTTTTCCTAAGAGATTTAGATTCTAGAGACGCAGATAGACATCCAGTGGAACCTTCAAAGTGCCAGCTCACATAAAACATATTGCAGTCACTGGAAATTAGAAAAATAAATGGGATAAAAACTTCTAGCCACTTTCGTCTTCTAAATGTTTATATCTCATCTAATTCACAAATAACTAGCTAACTAGATCTTTGACAGATACATATAGGTATAGTAGACTTCATCTACATTTATTTACACCAACTAGGAATTTCTCCTTGTACCTAATCCTACAGTGTAGGCTGCAGTGACAAGTGAAAACATTGATAATTGAAAACAGAAGGGGATAAAGAGACACTTTGGGTAATTCTTTCTCATTATGATGAAAGATATATTATCCAAGTTTGCTACATGGATTGTCCTCTGCATGTTGGTTGAGATAGTTCTAGAAAAAGACATAAACCAAGGTCAAATTAAATTGGAAGTATTTTAAGAAATGTAAAGATTTTATCGAGCTTTTCAAATTTAATTTTAAATTTAGTTAGCATTAAGGTTTCTGGAAGGTTCAGCTGATCTGAACCATTTCTGTTGGGCCTTTCATAATATCTAAGTTGTTTGGGAATAAATGTAGATCATTCTTTTCGACTGTAACATAGTCATTAGTAGATAGGAATTGGGCACTTTGGCGCTAACTAGCCCATTAGAATTTTGAAAAACCAATCAAGCTTGACTTATGCTTATATAAGTTATAAAAATTAGTCTTTTTAATATTACTTGACTTTTTGCCATATTATCTGTGGAAAGGATTTCTATGTATAACTGCTCTGAATAATTTAAAATATATCAAAATGGATCCAGAAGAGATTAAATCTTTCACAACTGACCAGGGAAGAAAGTACAATGATTGCAGATTCAACTTAGCTATCAAAGACAAAATATATGAAAGATAAAAATCCAATTACTTTTTAGGCACTAACTGATCTCAGGATAGAACTGATACAACTTTTATCTCCATTTCTCTAGGAGGGTGTACAGAGGGCCATTGCTTTATATATCTATCAAAAGGAGCTGGAGCGTGGAAACTATCTGGCATAGCTGCAATGTTGAGAAGCTGCAACCTGGTCTACAGAAGGCAGGTCAGCAGTAAGTGAAAACCTATTCTTAGCAAGATTTTTCTTGGAATCTCTGTCTGCATCCTAATACAAAGCATTTCTCACCTCCTTCAGTCTGTCAGTGGATAGACATTTAGGGGCTAACCCTCTGCTTACTGAGACTATAAAGTTCTTTGGAACAGAGACTGCTATTTCTTAAAAAACCCCCAAAACCCAGCATGTTGCATTCTGGTAGCCTAGCCTTGCTAATACCCATATGTCATTACAACACAACCGCAAGGTTGATAATGAATTCAGCTGAAAACCTCTATTGCCTTCAGCGGGCACTAGATCTGTTTTAGGCTGAAGAAAGATGCTAATTGGCATTCTTTTACTTGGTCCTCTAGCTGTTTGCCCTGAGCTAGAGATTACTATTTACCTCATTCTACTGGCAAAGGGATTTGTGGAAGTGTTCCTTAAATTGCCTCAGGCAAAATCATCTTCCAGAGGTGTAGTGACAGGATGTTTTGGAAAATAAAAACTTCAACCACTTGTTGAATTATGAAGAGGATGTCTGTCTATGGTTTTCAGCAACTTGCTTAAAACCTTTTAGGATCAGGCCTCTAAAAACTCAGTTGAAATTTTGGCATACAATCATATATACAACCCTTCAGTCGTTCACCTAGCTACTATACTACTCTGAAGACATAAACAGCAGGATACATTATTTGTACTTTAAAATTCCCAGCCTACTTAGAATCAAACCTTTATGTGTGTTCAGAATTACTTCAGGCTTGATGAAGCTGATGAGGTTTGATGAAGCTTACTGCTTAGCTCACACTTAAACTGATTTGGATCTTTCATTTGTATCCTCAGAGGGCGCTATTCACTAGGCATATCAGAGGAGGTTAGCAGGCCTGGGCTGTTCATCTACCTGTGAAATTAGCTTTTATAAAACACAGTTGTATAAGGTTGTCCCAGGAACCCTTTTGGGAAGCATCAGAAGAAAAGTTGTATTTATCAGTCGTCAATACTTTATACCTGATGTGTACCTTAAAGCCATTAACTATCATTATGATGTTATAATGCGGCTGATTTCTGAAGCAAGCAAGGAAAAAAACAGTCAAATATCCATCTGATTCTTTTCATTACTTAAAAAATAAAAACTCATCCCTGCAAACCACTAGCTAGAAATGAGTGGTAGTATGTCTACAGTGTCATCTATATATTAGGCATCTAAGAAAATGAAGTGACAAACTAAAATTCAGAAAACATTGAATAGCATACTACTTTATGATGAAAGCCTTCGCACCTTTGAACTGCAACAATTGGACATTTTGTACTCTTCACTCTCTCTGTTTCTGTAGGTCGTTGACTTCTAGTAACTCCAGAACAACCATTCACAACACAATGAATTTGCATGTCACATACTTAAACGTTTGCAAGAAGAGCTCTTGAGATCGTGTTCTCACATTACACTTTCCTAAATATTCTTACACATAAAATATATAGTGTGCACATGTAAACAGTATGCATACTGTTTACACACAGAGGAAATTGTGTGCATACTAGTCCTTATGCTTACAGATTAGTGAGAAGAAATGAGCATAAAAAACCTCCCTGTCCCTCCCACATTCCTGGTGGGGATCATAAGCTATCCCTTTCTCTGCATGTGCCGGCTAGCACACTGAGAGGCTGAATCTCTGTTCTAGAAAGATTGGGACTTAGAGAGTCACTGTGTTGGGATAATGCATTCTGCCACTCTGCACAAGAAGCAGAGGTAGAAATGGCACAGTTCAACTCATTGTGCTCATATTTCCGTTTGCTAGACTTTAAACTGATTGTACGTGTTTCCCACTGGACATGGATAACTCATATTTCACCAGCCAGATTTTATGCACAAGCTTACCAGTCTATAGTAGGTGTCTATCAAAACAAGCCCTATTTTGAATTGTTTTCATTTTTGGTTTGTTTACGTGACTCATTCTCAGTGATGACAGAAGCTATCATACATTCAGTCCAAAAGTGTCCACTTCTGTTTTTGACAGCCCTTTGAACTGCTTAGCTCGCACTTAAACTGATTTGGATCTTTCATTTGTATCCTCAGAGGGCACTATAATTATCACGCCCATACCATTGGCTTGATCACCTGTCATATGTATTGTGCCTTGCACTAACCAGCAATTCACAAAACTAAGAAAAGGAAAAAACAAATGAAATTTTGTACACAATAAATAATACTTATGACTGACAGTAATCACAGAAGTTAATGGACTAATACTGGGCACTTGGTGCATCCTACAGCTTTTCCTCATTGCAAAGTACATTACTAAAAAGTTTTAACTGCTTACTTCTCTTTGGAAAGTAATACATATTTTAGCAGAACTTAAGAAGTATCATCTAACATTGTAAACCACTTCATGTACAATTGAACTGCAGGTAAAGTAAATAACAGCTCAAACTCTAATAACTCAAATTGTCCTGGAAATATCCAAATCATTCATGAAAAAGGTAACAATCTATTGTATACATTGATGAACAGGTTCATAATACTAAAAAGTAACACAGATAATATATATTACCTTACCTGGGTAACCTTCTCTGTTACATTGTGCGTTCGGTCTTTCACCTTAGGTGCAATAATTGTTTTTTCTGAAGAAGGAGGAGATGAAGATTTTTTTTCACTTTTGATATCAGAAAAGTTCAAGGTGAGTTGAGGAATTTTGTTGATTGTACTGTATTTGTTGAGATTTGAATCCGATGTGGATCCCAACAGACTTGACTTGATATGATTAAAAGGGCCTAAAAAATTGGAATGCATATTTAGTACTTGACAAATGCAGAGAAATAAGTTATCATTAATGTTTCAGTGAGATATGTTAGAAAGACAGTTAAAATTATTTTTCACTATACTATTTGTTAATAGTAAAAATTATCTAGATTTTAAAAATAACTCTACTGCTAATGAGAATCAAATTTACTATGGGATGTAAATATGAAATTTCCTTTACATGAAGCAATATTCTTTATGAAGTCATAAGATTGCAAAGTCCATAATGCATCCATCCTTAATTGGTTTCACAAACCCACGTATATGCTGTCATTATTTTGGGTAAGTAGAAATACTATACTCTCATTTTGTTTACAAAAGCAGAAGTAGGACACAATATTATATCAGAATGTCTGGCCTGTCCCATTGCAGAGTAAAAGGCTCTATTATCATATCTGCACTATTGCTTATGTTGATAGGATACCTAATTCAAAAAATGGCTTTTGGTAAATTCAAAAATTGAGTCAAGTCCATTTTGTAATTATCCTTCCCCATTGACACATAGTAAGTAATTCCATATTTAATCAATGTAAATATTAAACTGTGTTTAACATCCTCCTAAAAGCCAAGCACATTTAATTCTGAAGTATCACAAATTCACAAAATGTGTTGCTTTAATTGTCATTATCAACAAAATACTGAAAACAAGAGGAACACTTGTATGTAGAATATCAGTGGAATATTTAATACATACTTAAGCACGTTGTCTTACTTTAATGAGCCATGATAGATAAACAATACAGAGTTCACATACTTCATGAGGTACATATCCATTATAAATTACTCTTTTCAATATTGTCCAGAGTTATTTGTACCGTCATTATAAAGTTGGCCCAGAAACCCTCCAAAAATTCACAGGAAGGAATAGTTCCTTTTGAGAATAATACTGTAAAAGAGAACTGTAAAGATGTTTAGACTGCAAGATCTAGATCCAGTAATGGATTTAGGACACATTCCTGGTCTTGCAGGTGTAGCATTCTGTCTAAATTGTGGGATCTAAGGGTATTTCTCAGATCCACATGAGAACCTTTGTGCATCCTAATTCTGTTATGGGCAGGAATGTGATGTTTTTCCTCTACCCTCTATTTTTTTTTCCTAGGAGGGAAAAAAGAACTGTCCTTATGGTTCAGAAGCAGCCAACGGACAGCATTAGGCTTAGGGTAAGTTTCAGAGTTGTCAGGGGAACACCTGGATTCTATCTGCAATGTGTGAATGAGTGAAATACAAAGCAGCAGCCTGGAGCTAGCAGCCTGGGAATGTTGACTAGCGAGTGAGTCAGTGCTGAATTCTACAACTTGACCTCCAGGGACTTTTTTGGATTCAGTGTCCAGAGCTATCTGTGCAGGTCAGTACCTAGATTTTTATCTTTTCACAACCAAGAAGGACTCAAAATTTGTCTTTGTAAAATGCTGTAACTGAGGGCTGGGTCTCTCTTGCATAAGTCTGAGAATACTTATTGAGGAAGCAGGCTTTTCATTTCTTTTTGTAGCTTATCAGAATTCATATATATGCTTTCCACCTTCTGAATTCACACTAATTAGAGGTTAATTTGGGCTGGAGAAAAAAACCTTCCACTAATTCATTTCAAATTGACCACTGCGCAGAAAGAAATTCAAGATCACAAGGGAGGGCATGATCCTGTAGAACAGGAGTTAGGGTGTTGCCTTGGGAAAGACCACTTCAATGGTTCTGCTCTCAGGACTCTTACTGTATTTATCCAATGATCATTTGATATAAGATTTAAAAAAAATTGTTTGTAAATGCATTACCATCAGACTACAAAATGAGGCTTTGTCTTCCTTCTAAGGCTAACCAATCTAGACCATACTTTGTAGAACAGCTTCACTACAAAAAGGGAGAAAGCAAATACCCTTCTCCCATGTGGAATGCTTAAAAGCCTGCTACAGAGAGGACACTATCAAGGAATGAGGGATATTGTGCTTGAACACCTATTGGCCCAACTAGGGCCTGAACCATCTTTCCTGTTATTTACATGAGTAATCTATTAAAAGGTGTTCTTTAAAAGAAAGTGAGAGTCACATTTACAATTATTAAGGTAAGTGATCTGGCTGGTTTGTGCTAGGTGTGGTCAGAGCGCATTTTTTTCAGCTATGTTTCCCTGCACAGTTGTAGCAATTCAGTTTTTGGATATTGAGGTGGCTTACATATGATTGGGGTATCAAGTTGGAGTTGTTTCTCAGATGAATGAGATCCTTGATACCTAGGGAACTCTGAGGTAAGAGAGCTCTAAGGGAGCTTAGGCAAATGCATGATTAGATGGAATTAGTAACGTTAGCTATAGATGCTGAGATTGCACTGAAATCTTGTTTTCTGGGATTTAAGTCTTTTACCGGTTCTATTCTTAAGCGAACTAACTCTCTGTAAGTAATGGATTTATTATAGGGAGTCCTTCCCTGCCAAATGTTCATGTCCTAGCATGTGGTACTGGATTTAAGGTAATTGCACACGAGAATAAATCTTTCTTTTTTTCCTGCCGTCTTTTGCTTAAAAAAATGATGAAAGGCATCTATGTATCTCATTGATAATGATAATTCATTAAAAGACATTACTAGCTTAAGTACAGCCCAGGCTAACAGCTTTTGAGCTGCTACTTGACAACTAGTGGACTTTTCCTATATCCTCATAACAGGAAGCAGAAAAAGAGGGCTATAACAAATCACAATCGACACTAATTGGTGCCCTGATTGACAGTCTCAGCAGAGAGGCTGAGAACCAAATAAGCAGAGCAAATGACATGCTTTTGCCTACCCTACAAAGGAGACTATTTCAGGTTAAGTTTATCTCCCCATTTTCATGGCAGGATTCCATTGTCCCTGCTTATACAACATGTTAAGAAACGATTTCACTCTTCTGAGCTGTCAATCCATCATCTTCACCAGCAGTAAACATATTTATAACAACTCTTTTATAGGACAAAGACACTGCCCCCCTCCCTCAAGATTTTACTGACATACACATGAAGCAAATGCAATGATGTTATAGTCCATGAATTGCTTCACAGAGTCTAGCTCATGCATTGCATGCAGTTCAGAGAGAAGACTTTCAGGTACACACACTTTTTGCATCATGCATGAAGTCACAAACCAGTTTTCAAACATAGCTACAAATATCACAGTTTAACTGAACACGTTTTAAAATAACCTTTCTAGAAATGAAATCACTTAGAGAATTGTGTTCAAATTGCTTATAAAAGATGTAGCTCAGTTTTCTTTTGCTGTCATTGTGCTAGTGAATATAAATAGTGTTGTAGCTGTTCCAAAAAACATGAAATTGGCAATGAAATTCATGCATGCACACTTTAATACTACAGGAAGCTTGAAATCATACCCCCTGCCATCCAGGAACGAGAAACTAGTTTTAGGGAGACAAAAAAGGAAGAAGTGAAGATATTTTCACATGGCTCCTGATTACCCATAATTTTATTTTTGAGATAGTTAACTGAAAAGTAAACACTTCATAGCAACGGATTGTTTATTAATGGCCTGATTATACATCCTTTCACAGGTAAAACTTCTGGTAACATCAACAGAAGTTTTGCCTGCTTAAAGACAGCAGCATTGAGTTAAATAACTTTCTCTCTTTTTTTTTTTTTAAAACTAATTATCAGATACTTAAGTTGCATAACTGTTTAACTTTTCCTTCACTTTTTCCAGGGATCATTAGTTAGTGCTTTGAGATAAAAGTTTGAAGGGAGTAATTAAGTGTCCAAGAAGTCCAGGTTCGGTAATGCACCCGGCCCTCGCGAGGTCAGCATGAGAACGTTGCACTGGAATGTTTCATACGGCAGGCAAATTCACATGCCAAAGAGGGTGGTTGTTGGAGACACTGGATGGCACGTTCTGCGTGTATACTTTACCTTTGACATTGCGACCATTGTCTGGTTTTCAGCATAATAAGAGTGAAGAAAAAGAGAGAAAAAAACCTAAAATCTACATCAGCGCAAGCAGGAATTATTGCTTCAAAATGTGTGTGTGGCTGGAATTAAAATATTCTCGCACCTCCTTGATTATATTACGTAGACCTCTAATCAAGGTGATGTCATTTTGACAATTAAGAAATAATCTGTAAAACTGTTTGGAGTAGATCATCAGGCGGTATAAAAACCAGAGTCCTTTTGGCTCTAGCTAACTTGTGTTACCAGCAAATTGCCAAAATACCTTCTCAACAAGTCCAGGTTTCACGTACACTTACTCCTCTATGGAGTTTGAAGTCAAAAATATTAACCCGTGAAGCACTAATTAGCACCTGTCATTAAGTGAGCACCTACTGCCATTGTAGGCGCCAGTGCTGCAGCTGGGCCGAACATGGCGGGGGGCCGGGGACGCTGCGCCGGCAGCCTAGTGCTGCCCTGCTGAGGCACCGTGCTTCCTAGGGACCCGCAGGAAGACCTAGATTTCTTGGAGCTGATTTTACCAAGGTGGCGTGCTACAGCAGCGCCTTATCCGAGTAACTGCTAGGGAAACCCTGAAGATGAAGATTGTCTTACATGTCCTTCTTCAGCTCTTAGGCGCCTTTACGTGAGGTAATGGAGAAGTGTCTCTCTATGCGGGTGCACCAAGCCCTGAATCCTTTCTTGGTATCAACCCCCTTAAAGGAGAACCTGTTTGGTTTTTTTCCTTTTCTCTTTTTTTAGCAGGTGTCTGGATAGACACCACTGCTGCTCACGGCTGGCCGGCGCCCTCCCTCCCCTCAGGCCCCAGGCAGCCCTGGGGGAGGTGCGAGGGGCTGCTCGGGTGCTGCTGCCTCGGGGCCTGCCGGGGGCCGTGTGGAGCTGGCAAGGAAGCTGGGCTGGGGCTGCCTTTCCCTTCTGCCCCGCCGCCACTGGTCAGCGGAGCTGAGGCTGAGACTCACCCAGGGCTGTCCTCCCCTGAGGGGCAGGAGAGAGGAGCCGTGGTCCCCGCCGGTGAGGGGGACCCGGGAAACACAGTGACGCCTCATTTCCTCAGCTGCAGCCAGCGGCGTCTCGGGGCGCCGGCCTGGCCAGGGCTTGCTCTGCGGTGACCTGCTGCCTGTGGGTTTCGCGCTGTCCTGGCAGTAATGCAGATTTTGTAGGCTGACTTAGGCTCGAAAGCCTGCTGATTTCTTCAGAAGATTGCAGAGGTGTCACTGAGGGCACTTCCTGAAGAAAATAAAATTCCCTAAGTGAACCTAACCCAGCCTGCGAAATGGGGATTGTTGCTGCTGGTGTGTGGGTGGAAGGCACTCGGTTTGGTTTTGGGTGGTGGCTGCTGCACACAGCTCCTGCCCTGCCCTTTTTGCTGTCAAATCGAAAAATTTAGTGCACTTCACTGAATTCCATCCTTAGATGAACTTAATCCTATATTGTCATTTTTGGTGCAATGCCTTTCAGCATACGATTAACACTAGGTATAGCTGTGGCAATTTTAAAGTACACAGTGATAGGCAACTGGGACACATAAGTGATTTCACATGCTACATTAATTTATATTCTCAATAGCCTTCTAGAAAAATGAATTTGGCCCCAGCTGGATTAGCATACTGACTATTGAGCTAAATAACGCTGTTCTCTTGTTCTGTCAGACTTCTGTTCAGATGATTCAGTTGTTTTTTTTGAACAGGGAGAGATGGAAAAAAGTTAAATCTGAATCCTGCATTACATTTTCAGTCAGAACAACATATTTCTTTTCAGCGGGTGCAGGGGAAAAAAAATCAGAATTGTTAGGATCAATAAGCAAAGTAAAAAGGGAATGGGAAATGTATTAAACTTCTTGCTATCCTTGGGCTGTAAATTTTGCAGCGTTAAAGACCGCAGAATTTAGCCCATTGGGACTATAGTTTACTTAAGGTTTTACATTCTCCCCTACAGTATCTACAACATCTGTTGAAACCTGTGAGAGTCCAAAAAAGATGATTTGGACTGAATCTTGGTTGCCCAACTTGCATGGATAATTTTGTAGCAACAATAGGGCTTTATGGCTCACTGTTGAGTAAGGCAAGCAGGACTTGACTTATTAGCTAAATTTAAGCATACTTGCAGCATAAGTTGCCAAATTCTAATAAGTTTTGAAGCAGATGGCATCAAGCATGTTACTAATTCTAAAGCAGTTCTGAGAGCCATCCTCCGTTGTGTTGTACATGTTTAGTGTGCCTATGTATGACCTACACTTAGGGCCAGGTTCTTTACTACTTTGTAGCTTTTGCAAAGTGGAATCAGTGTGACAATATTTTGTCCATTTACAATGTAAATAATTACATCATTTGAGAGGCAGTAGAAATTCAAATTAATTATGTACTTAGAGTAAATTTTTTTCTTTGTATTTGCCACTTGCAAGATGTTATTCTGTGAAATATAGTTAGAAATTTTTGCTCCTCTGTGCACCCATTATTATATGGCTGTTTCTGCACAGACTTTGTACCATCATAACCAAAGAAATGTAATAATCAGCTTAATTTTATACATTTTCTTCATATAATTAATAACCAGTTGGGAAGTTCTATTTTCAGAGTTTATTCTGATTAAAGAAAGTGGCAAAATAGATGTTCTTGAATATGTTTTATCTGAAAGTTTAGTTTTAAGTATCTGGGAAAGTCAAAACCAAGATAAACTTTATGCAATGATCCCAAAACTTGGACATGACTGAACTTTGGAGGTTTTAGGCTCCAGATCATGATCTTGAAATCTTGGTTTGAATGTTGTTATGAAATATAGCAAAATGGTATGGTTTAAAGTGGATTTAATTGAATTTTCAGATTATTTGAGCTGAAAAAATCAGAGTCCATAAGCAACAAAAATGTGAAAAGAAACGTTCACCCAAATGTTTCAATGAAAACCCTACAAACGCATCCTTTGAGGGGTTATACATAGATATATTTATACAAATAAAACTTAGGAAAAATTATTCCTTAAATGCACTTATTACAGTGGCCAAATCCTACTCACAATTCTCATTTTTAAATCCAAGGAAACACTGCTAAAATAGATGAAATTAATACAACTTTACTACTATTAAAAATGTTACTGCATTACAGTATTGTTGCCAAACTTTTTTTGGAGAATATGTGAGCATGACCATCTATGCAATGGAATTAGTTGATTTAGTTCTTCTGGACTGTGGAAAATAACACACAATCAACCATATTGTCAATCTTTCCCTTTTAGGAAACCACATGCATTCAAACTCGTAGAGTAAATATGGCATAAAGAATATATTTGTATTATTTGAAAGTGATCTACACATAAAAAGAAAAAACTTTTGCAAAAACATTTTTCATTACAGTCTCTTTTCAGTACACTAACTAGTGAAGCAAGATATGTCAGTGGAATTTTTTCAGCTCAAAATATATTTCAATAATTTTTCAGAAGGAGGTTCAAGTTTCATTATTTGAGTTAAATCGTGTTGCTATCACATTATGTTACATCACTTACAGAGGACAAGAACATGTTCTCGTAACACTTGCTTTCCACAGCCCATGGTTATGGTGTATATGCAATTTTTTGTAGGGATTTGGGCAGGAGAAAAATAGTAATGACCTCTTTGTTGTGCAGTGTGCAAAACTTACTTACTATTTATTCAGAAACTAAGCCTGAAATCATTTTATGCATAGACCCCTCACTGAATTGAATGGATGCTTTTAGTTGGAAAAAACTTCTAAAAAGGTTAATTATATAGTCTTACAATGTACAGGTATCTATCTAATGTCTGTCTATCAGTATATGAGAATTTATAGCTATCGGACTAGCTTTACTACAGGAAGAAAAACTGGAA